TGCTGCTGCTGCACCTGCTGCAGCGGTTGGTGCTGCTACTACTGCTGCTGCTGCTGCTGCTGCAGTGAATGGTGCTGCTGCTGCGCCTGTTGATGCTGCTGCTACTGCTGCAGCAGATGCTGCTGCTGCAGGTACTTCTGCTGCTCGCGCTGCTGCCGCTGCTGCTGCACCTCCTGCTGCTGCTGCTGCTGCTGCTGCTGCTGCTGCTAGTAATGATTTTGTGTTTACGCAGTGTCTGTCTAGCTGCCGAGACATCGCCGGCATTTCTGCTGTTTTGCTGCTGCTGCAGCAGCAGCAAGTCGATGCAGCAAACACCCAGCTGCTGCTGCTGCAGCAGCAACAGCAGCAGCAGCAGCAGCAGCAGCAGCAACAGCAGCAGCAGCAGCAGCTGCGGGATGTACCAACTTTGGTTATATCAACGTTTCTGCAGCGCATAGCCTGCAGCGGTCTATTTGCTGCTGCAGCAGATACAGCAGCAGCAGCAGCAGCAACAGCAGCAGCAGCAGATGCTGCAGCAGCTGCTGCTGCAGCAAATGCAGCAGCAGCGAACAAAGTGCAACAGCCGCTCGAACGGCTGCTGCTGCTTGCTGCGGATCACGCAGCCCTGCTGCTTACTGTCAGCAGCAGCAGCAGCAGCAGCAGCAGCAGCAGCAACAGCAACAGCAGCAGCAGCAGCAGCAGCAGCAGCAGCAGCAGGGATGGCTATCACGAGTTTGTGTCTGCGCTTCAGATCGCCAGCAGCAGCAGCAAATTTTGCCGCAGCAGATTCACAGCAGCAACAGAAGCAGCAGCAGCAGCAGCAGCAGCAGGAACACCAACAGCAGCAGCAGCAGAAACAGCAGCAGCAGCAGCAGCAACAGCAGCAATCGGGCAGCGGCTATTCCCTCTTGCTGCGCTGCTGCTGCTGCAGCAGCTGCAGCACAGCAGCAACCTGACGGCAGATCAGCTGTCTATGTGCTGCCGCTTCTTCTCTCAAGCTGCTGCAGATGCAGCAGCAGCAGCAGCACCAACAGCAGCAGCAGCAGCACCAACAGCAGGAGCAGCAGCAGCAACAACAGCAGCAGGAGCACCAGCACCAGCAGCAACAGCAGCAGGGGGTATGATGATG